TTATAAACGTTGGCAAAACTGTATAAGTTGGTTTTAGCGACTTTTGCAAACGTCACAAAAAATTATCACAAACATTGCAAAAAAATATATATTCACTACCCAAAAGAATCAAGGTACACTATACTTATCGTAAACAAAAAAGAAAAAAAAAAACTTAATATCACAAACATTGCAAAAAAAAATATATTCACTACCCAAAAGAATCAAGGTACACTATACTTATCGTAAACAAAAAAGAAAAAAAAAAAACTTAATATCCATTAAATCTAATGAGAGTAACTCGTAGTGAGACATGGTAGATAAAACAGAGTTAAATGGTGAAAAAGCAAAGAATGTATCCACAATATGTAAAGGTATTAAAGAAAAAGAACTAGCCATCCCAATAATTGTTGAGAAAATACACCGAATCACTTCTATTGCTGTGTAAAGTGGGAATTTTTTTTCTCTTCAAAGTGAAATTGAAAATGAAACAAAGTCTGTCCAAGAAGTATTTTCATTTCCCACTCTATACACTAATTTTACAAAATTTAAGTTTTGGGCAATAAATAATAACATTTTAAGCAACCATCAATACACTATACCTTGTCAAGAGGGATTCAGCAATGTAAACATGGAGGTATATGATTCGGTAATGCATGCATTACCAAGTCACAAAGTGATATATTCTCTTGCTAGTATACATATGCCACATGATGATGAATTAAAAATGGGTTCGACTATGATATGGAAAACCATAACATATCTAAAACCTCTATTACTGCCATGTATACAATAGTTACCGAATTTATTTAAGTAACCGGTAATTATTTTTTTATATATTAATTAAAATTTAAAACACTCTTTAACTTATCCGTTAACTGAATCCTCGTTACCAATTCTTATCTCCTTCGAGTTCCCTCTTCTATTCGAATTTCTCCTTTTGAAATTGTAAATCCACAATTGGGTTATGGATTTGGATTTGGTGAATACATACCCCATACCCCAGGATTTATGCGAGTCAAGTTGGAATAATCTCAGATTGAACTTTAATCACCTTTCCATTGTCAACAACTTAATCATTTTATGCATAATGTTTCAAAATAATCTTGTCATCCTTATAGCGCTTAACATCTGCTAACATGCCAGCAATGCATTGGGGATCCACCTCTGTTTTTATTTTCCGCTGTAAGGCATCAATTTGATCCTCAAATGATCACATTGTGTTTACAACTACAAGTGTTTCATCAAGATCAAATACCATGCCAAGACATCTAAGATTTAGCATGACAAGACAAGAATTGTAAAGCACTGGTGCAACATTAAAACCCCAAAAACATAAATATTGTTTATCATTCTTCCTAGATAACAACATGGCTACCAAATGAAGTTCCTCCTCTCCTAGTGGCATAACTGTAGTCTGTAAACCAAAAATCAACAAACACAAGGCATAGTAAGTGAAAAAAAAAATGCTTTGAGAAGTTGAAAATAAGCACATACAGGTTCAGAGGAACTCAATGCTAACAAAGAAGCTGAAACACTTTGTCAGTCGGTAAAAGTAATTGAGTTGTATTTTCTTCTGGGTTGGATATATTTCTGAATTTGTTACCAGCTAGAGAGATTTTAATATTTTGTTTTGTTATGTTGGAGTTGTAGTTCTACCAAGAAAGACCATTATTACCAGTACGATGTTGTATTATACGAATTAGCAGTTATAGTAATGTGAACAGAAACTGATCTTACCCTCATGAACTCACCCCCCCAAAAAAATACAGATTAATGAATCAAAAACTAACTCAATCTCTAGTGCTACAATTCAGTTACTTCGCAGTTGCCCACAAATATGTGCATTGTGTAACTCTTCTTCGATGGTAGAATCCTACAACAATCCCTCCTCAGTGACTGCACAGGAAAAAAGAAATCTGGTTAATAACCAAAATGCAGAAAAATACACCTCTCATCTCCTAGACTACAGTCTATAGATGTGCCTGTAGGTGGTTAATAGAATAATAAGTACTTAAAGAGCTTAATTAATTAATTATTACCTTCCGCCAGCGAAGGTTGCCTAGTCTCTTGAAGACGACAATGGACTCGATTGCAGCTGAGGAAGCCATTTTCCATCGACAATAAAGGTTGTCTCTCTCTGTAGCGGGACTCAATTGCTTCTTGATAATAAGGTTGGCGTAACGCAGGGCATGGGGTTGGAATTTGGAGATAAAGAGAAAAAGGGGAGGGTGACATTTTTTTGAAATGTGATTTAAATAGTTGTTTTTAAAACTGGTTACCTGGGATAACCGGTATTCACCCAAACAAAAAGTTGAATGTTGATTGGTCCATCTCATCCGATATGGTTTTTCCATATCATAGATCATATTTGAGGCAAATAAGTGCATAGGGACAATTTACTTTTTCTTTTGGTACTTAACACACTAAATTCTCAACGTAGATAGTAATAGTGGGATTCGAATCCGCATCTCTGTTAGGATTATTCATCTAACATACCAACTAAACCACCACTCAATTGATAGACAATTTACTTGAGTTGTACTGTTATAATTTTTCTAGATCATATCAACAACAAGCAACTAAAATGCATGCCATCATTGATAAGCTTCGATCCACACATCCCTAAAATGCATTTAAATGAACCATTTTTTTTCCTACAAAAACAACGCCAAACCATTTCTCTTAGCTTACATCAATTAACACCACTAGTTAACTGTGCAAAGGTAGGCAACACAAGAAATGACAAGGTGTTGTGGTGTCTCTCTATCAGCGGCAATAAGGTAATAAATCAGTGGTAAAAAAGACAAGCGGATTAGAAAAAGGGGGAGGGATTCATATGTGGAGAGAAAACAATAATATATTATTGTTGGAGATGTACATAGGTGGGAGTAGTGATAAGTCAATAGAGAAGGGATGGTGGAGCAGCGAAGTAGTGGCGGTGGAGCGATGGAATGAAACAAAGGATCAAAAGGGAGAAAGGGAGGAGATGGTCGTACTAATTAAGGGTTCAGGAATAGATTACAATGGGAGATGTAAGTGAAAGGAACAAAGCGATAGAGTAGGAGTGGCAAAGCCATACAGCAAAGGTGATGAGTATGCAAGAATGGAGCAAGGAGAGGTAGGGGTAATTATGAAAAACCAAAAAAACAAACTGAACTGATGAGACCAAACCAAAAATTCTGGTTAATCAAATCAATCAGTTTGATTTCAAAAAGTTGGAAGTACCGGTTTAGTTTCGGTTAATCAATAAATTTATATATATCATATGTATTTTATATTGTTTATATATTATAAAAGAATATGTATGTATTATATATAAATATATATTTTTAGCTTTTATTATATATTTATTATAAAAATTAAAAAAAAACTGAAAACTAATGAATTGAACTGGTAGTTAATCAAACCAATCAATCAATTAACCATTCAACTTCTAGTCAATTTCGATTCCATTTGGAAAATAGGCCCACGATGAGCATCCTAATGAGAGGAAAGGGGCATGGAGAGGTGGCTGTTGTGTTTGGTGGGAAAAAGTGGGGTCATGGGCTAGGTTAGAGTTGGGGGTATTTTTGATATATTGGGAACATGGCACTAGGGATTTGAATCACAGGAGTACAGAATAAATTAAAATGGTCGAGGGGAAAGGCATAATAGTGTTTTGTTTCATTGCTGATTATTTAAAAAAACAACACCAACTCATTGTTACATAAGTGTTTATTCTGAAATACTATTTGGTAGATTGTTTATTAAATAAACATTTATCTTGGTTTGTATGAACCACTTTTCTCATTTTTTAGTTAAGTTCTATACAAAACATTCATTAAATAAATAACCACAATGCAAACATCCTCGAGACGAACGAATTGTTCCTTGTTGTGATTTGGGGAATATGACATTATACCTTTTCGTTGGGGGTTCGTAAACTTTTCCAAGTTCTTATCGTAGTGAAGATGCTATTAAATAAAATTCTTCCTTGGGTAGGTTTTTGACAATTTATTTGAATAAAGTTTTACCCACCTGACACATGGACACATGGAGGAGGTAAAATTGGTAATATCCTTTTTCAAAACATTAAAAAAAAATAACCATTTTAAAATTTGCTCACTTACTCATTTTGTAAAGGAACATCGGTAGATGTATTTATCTTGGTATTTTTTTTTTTTTCAAGTAACACTTACCCGGATAAATAACTTAATACAACTCTCATGGTTGTCAAGGGTGACCTAAGGTTCTGATAAAAATATATATAACTCTTTGCAGGTTGAAAAAAATGAGGGAGAGTTTCATTCTTCTACCGAATAACCCCAGACATTAGTGAGAAATTAACTTGGAGACTCTTTATTAGGAAGTAGACTTGTTCATGGGCTGGGTTGGGCCGGGTTTGGGTTGGATTTTTATTCTTCATAAACATGATTTTGTTAGGCCCGATCTCAAACTTAATAAAAAGCCCGACCTAACAGAAGAAAGAACTCATTGCCGGTAACTGTGTTTGCTGGTACCGAGTTTGCGTGTGTGTGTGTGTGTGTGAGAGAGAGAGAGAGAGAGAGAGAGAGAGAGAGATGATTCACCAACCGATGCTCAGTTCGCGGTGAGATGTGATTTTGATAGTGAAAAGAGGAGTCAGTTTGCGTTTGAGAGAGAGAGAGAGAGAGAGAGAGAAGACTCATCGCCGGTGTGCCGGAGTTGTTGCGTCGATAAATTTTTGCCGATTATGCAGTTGCTTGAGAGTGTGAGGAGGATATGAAGAGAAGAGAGGTTCGGCACTAGGCAATTCAGCTAATAGGAAATATGGAAAGAGATGAATGAAAAGGGTTAGGATATTAAGGTTTTTGGGTTTAGTTTATAGGTCGGGTTGGGCTGGGCTATTTTAGCAAACCCCGAACCAGGCTCGAATTTATTGTAGGTCGGGCTTTTTGACCTGAGATCAAGCCCGCGGGCTCATTTGCGTGTTCAAGCCCGTCCGGGGGCCGACCGGCCCGTCGGGGCACCTGGCGCATGAACAGGTCTATTAGAAGTTATCCCACTGTCCAAATCGGTGAATCTTAGATTTCACTCGTTGGTGATCACTGTAAAAAGAAAACCCCAGTAAAAAAAGGGAAAGAAGAGGCGAAGAGCAAGGAGAGGAAAGAAACGAAAGAAAAAGAGAAGGGTGGAAACTAACTAATTTCAACCTTATAACGTATGAACCAAAATCTCGGCAGCAAGATGAAGGAAAGTTCAGGTAATTTATTTTAACCTTTTCTACTGAATGAGTAAGTTTGTATATCTGATCTCTTGTTTTTTTTTTTTCAAAGTCCCAAACCAAGAATATCGTAGATATAGAGCTATTCTACTCTTTGTTGCTCATCAAAAGCGTAACTAAAGCAAAATAAAAAAAAAATCTGAACAGAACTTGTTAGACAGTTGGGTTCTAAATGTCTTTACATATTTTCTCGCTTTTCAATTTCTTAAAGCTTATTACCAAAAAAAAATCTTCCGCTGGGCAACTTTGATTCACTGGATAATGACGTTATGCGTTTAATCCTTTTGATCTTTGGGTCCAACTGTGAAAGGCCTGTTCCGATATCAGGTTAGACTCTCGGTTCAGCGATTCCTGCAAAAGCCCTGTCTTGGATTAGAACAGTGAGAAACAGTCGGTAGAAGTCAGTCAAGTCACGTCTTTGTAAAACCAGAAATAGAGCTGCTTAGAATGGGTCAGCCCAAAGTCTGGTTTACGGAAGTGGCTAGAATGTCTTACTCAGTGTTTTCACGGAGTATGAATGGTCCTCTTTTTGTTTTCTAAAATGTCACAATACAAAAGCTTAAATGGGCATTATGGCAGTTTTATCTCTCCCCCTCATGGCATTCATAGAGGTATAGTATTTGGATAAGCTTCAAAGATTTCTGATTTTAATCCCCCAAAGCACAAAGATCTAACCATATAGTTTGTGCTTGAGGAATTAATAGTGTTTTGGCTTTCAAACTTCAATGTTTTTAAATCAATCCTTTCCAAATGATCTAAACACTTTTGTTAGCTCAATTTTATTTCTCACAGCCCAAAGCTTAAAAAGAAGCTTGAGAACTGAGCCTTTGTATATAGGTTCTAACCAATTCACTAGTCTAGTATGAAAGTACTTAACTGTATTTGTGTATGACATGGGTTTATTTCTCTTTTAAACTATTTATTTGTTGCAGAAGAAGACTCACATGTGGCAAGGGTGAAGATGAAACAAGTAAAGTCAAGTCCAATATTCGGAATGGGAGACATTGGGAAAATGTAGTTTTCTTCACATGCATGCTTTTTGTTTGTTAAATACTTTAATTGGTGGATAAATCATAAGTTATACTTTTTAGATTCATTTATGATAATGAAGTATGTTATTTTAATAAGTAAAATGCATTTTTTTTATGACGTATGTAAATCTTGTAGCAGATTTTTTTTTCACTTATGATAATTATATATTTGTTATAATTTGTATATAACTATTGTCCTGCCTGTATGTTTTGATAGGCCATAAATGCATGTGGGTGTCTTTTACTTGAAAGGGAGCGTCAGAAGTTGGACAATGTTGAATGTGAGCAGTTTTTGTATATTAGCACATTTGCGCAGGTAATAGGTTTTAACACTTTTTATTTCATTTATTATGTACTCATATATTGAATAATCTATTTTTTATCTTTTAAAATACATATGTCAGGAAATTATTAAAATGGGTGACAATGTTGCAATAGAACCTTATATTGGCCCTCATCTAAGGCAATAGTATAACAAAGTATTTATACCCTTGCAAAGTAATGGGCATTGGCATCTTTTGGTAATAAACGGGGATGATAATTGTATTGAATGGTATAATTCAATCAAATTTGCTATATACAAGCGATTTGCTAGAACAATGGTATGTGTCTATGCGCTACACTATTTTCATGTGCAATTGTTTTTATATTAATCCACAATTATCACTAACTCTGTAATCAATATTTGTCTTACTCAAACTACTACAGAAATAAACTCTTGGGTGTGCGGTTTATTGGTAAATGGAGAATTGGAGATTTAAAGTGTGTAAGGATGCTCCATCCCAATATGCAAATGGGTACGATTATTCAATTATTACCATTAATCTTTATTACATTGTTACATATCTTAAGTATTGTACAGTAGCTTCGCCATACGTGTTGTGTAGGATTGAATGTTAGGTTTTTGTAATGAAGTACATGAATTGTTTATGTTGAAGTACCCAATGAGATTTTAACTTCAATGATACACAAATTTTACAGTGGAAGATTGGTGCACAGATATTGCAATCCCAACTGGAGTAAACCCACATGTCCATAAGCTCATTCAGGTGCTTGTATTCAAGTATGTGAAACCAATATTTTAATCATTTTAATCTGAAGAATATTTGAGACTATATTTTTCAAATTTGTTGGCATATGGTTTTTTAAATAGTTTAGTCCTTAAGTGATATTGGTTGGCTATATCTAGAAACAATCCACCTCATACAACATTTTTTTTTCTTTTCCTACAATTCCTTCCTTTTTCTAGGAGCAATAACTCATAAATAGGGATTGATTTCAGTAAGCCAGATTTTATAGTACAATTTCATTTGTATTGAACTGTCATGTGGAGTGAGAAAGAAAATACCATTTAAAGAGAAACTTAGATGTAATGAAAGATTCTGACTGGCATCAATCCCTCCTTAGATGTGATCCATTAGTAAGCATGCAACTTGGGTAAAGAGTAAGCCAATTGTACTTGTATCTGAATTGTATCTCAACAACCTTTGACATGTGAATGAATAATAAACCTCATAATTCAACCTTTCTAAATTTAAATGTAATTTGTGGATGGCATTGGTAGCCTAGGTTACACATGCAAAGGATCTAACAACCCAGTCTCAGCCAACACAAAATCTTTTGTCTCCCTATCCCACTCTTCCCTAACATTCACGTGAATACACCTCCATTATAATTTAAATTATTTCATTATGTTATTTATGTTAAGACTTGTTTCTATGTTAATTTTGAATATCATTTATCTGAAAGCCACTTAGTTCTACTCATGTAAATACCATTCACCGAAAGCCACTTAGTTTTGCTTGTGTAAATACCATTCACCCCATTCTTCATCCCTGCCAATTGACCTTGTGGCTAGCTGTTCAATCTCATCAAAAACCATAGTTTGGTTTGTTCACCCCATCTTTCCCCTTTGTTAGTCTCTCTTATGAGGTTTCCCCAATATTAACTGTTTTTTTAATCGTTATTATTTTCATTCAATATGTTGAATTTGCCCATTCCTTGTTTTATTTGTTGCATAGACTTGCCTAGTTAGACAAAATACACAATCTGAACCCTAGTTACTCAAACCATTTCAAGAAAGTAAAAACTAGTATTATTGCATAATTTCAATAAAAAAACTTCCAAGATGATGGGTAAGTTCTTCAAGTAGAATACTTTTTTTTGTGAATAACCAAAACTTTTACTAAGAAAAAAAATAATAAAGTACAAAGAAAGCCCAAAGATTGAGATGGCCTAACCCCAACCTTTTCTAATCACATAAGCAATACATCAAATAAAGAGCCATTCCCCCAGAACCAAATTCTTTCTTTCAACCCCTTGCCTTGCTAACCATCTGCCAGCCCATTGCAGTTCTATAAGTCCACTGAACAGCAACAAACCTATCCCTTTTTAGCTCGGGAATCTCCCTCATGATGTGTCTGTACTACCAAGGACATCTTCATTACAAACCCACTCCACCACCACTTTAAAATCCCCTTCAATGATGATATTGGTTAATTTGGTTCTCTTGGTCAGCTTCAACCCTTGTAAAACTACTAGGATTTCAACTCTAACTGCATTCCCTTGACCTACTGGTCCAGAGTATATTTCAATTATAATCCCATCGTGATTTCTAAAAACTCCTCCAATGTCAAGAGGGTCCTGGATTACCTCTGCTACAACCATCAAATGTCAGCTTTCTTGAAGGGAGAGAAGCCCAAAATGGTTGAATAGTGACTCTTGAAATGCCTGAGTTAGCTTTCGATCCTCAATTCTTGAAGATGCCATCAAAGGTAAAAGTGTTGAAAAGGCTTAAAGTATTCACCCAATGTATGGCAATTATAGTAATGAGATTGATGATATATCTTCTATCCTGGATCTTATCCCTGATTAACCTTCCATTTCTTTCCTCCCAAACTGCCAAAAGGATTGCATCTCTAATACATCTCCAAAGAATCTTCCATCTTATGGGGAGCATAAAAATGGAATTGTTGAATAAGGAGATCAAGTCCAGCAGGGGGGTCCACCTGCACCCAAATAAAGAAAATAACTTCTCCCAAATATTAGTCACAAAAGAATTTCTATTGGAATGGTACACCTCCCAACAAAAATCCCTCACTTTGGGTGGGGTTGTTGCCCACTCCACACTTCTTTTACTAGGAACCTCAAGGTAGTGGGATTGGAGGACAAAGAGGTTAGAAAAGAGGAACAAGAAAAGATTCCAGAAGGGCATGGGGACAACATTTTAATGTCAGGCAAGAGGATCCAAAAGAATATTCTTAAGTAGCTCCACAAGTTGCAAGCTCAAAGGTATCTCCACTTCCCACAAAACCCTCTTAAACCCAAAGTTCCAAGCCAATCTATCCAAAGAGGAAGAGACAAAATGGAATATGCTTTTATAAAGAGCATATAGAGTCAAAAATTTATCTTTGAAGGCAATATTCCCCCATCAAAGATCCTCCCAGAAATGGGGCGGCAACACCTCTAAAAGCTGTTAATCTTATTATTTATAGTAGGGTTTTATGAGATGGGAGTACAATGACAAATCTGTCTTTGATTAGTAGGCAAAAAAGAATATGTTAGTACAAGAGAGGTCCAGGCCCATTAAGCCTATGAATGAAACATAAAAGGGGACGACATAATATAAATAATAACAGCCCAAGCCCATAATGCTAGGTCTCACAAAACTCACCCTCAAGCTGAGCATAGATATTTTTCATGCCCAACTTGCATAACAGCTCCATAAATGTTGCCTTGGTGAGCCCCTTGGCAAAAACATCAGCCAGTTGTCTTCTAGATGGAATATAAGGAATACAAAGATCCCCAGAAACAATTCTTTCTTGCACAAAGTGTCTATCAATCTCAATATGTTTTGTCCAATCATGCTGGACTAGGTTGTTAACAGTGTTGACTACAGCTTGATTATCATAACATGTTCTACATCAAAAACATTCTGGAACTTCCTTATGGTTTTTAGATCCTCAACATGTCCTGGTAGCATGTAACTTGGGTCCCAGTTCTCATCATCAATTTCATATCTAAAAACTTTATCAAACTCTGTTTTCTTAAATGTATTAGGCAAGCTGCTAGTTTTTATTTGTCTCCTTTAGCTTGCAATTTTGGAAATGAATGATTTAGATGAAGTTTTTCTCTTTGCTGTTTGGGAAATATGAAAGCATCTCTTTGACTCTTTCTATGATTCTTATTTCTTACATTAAATGATGTGCTTCATGGTTAGGGGTATACATACATACATACATACATACATACATACATACATACATACATACATATATATTATATATACCCCAAGCCAATGCTTAGTAGGTAGAATGTTGAGGGCCCGGGAATAGGATCTCGTCACGGGTCGGTCCACGGGGAAAACCTCCTGTTTTCCCTTGTTCCTTCCTGCTCGTGATGAACCTATCTTGGCGCCTTTGGTGATTTGTCCAAGAGATCACCAACTCTCCTAACTCACTCTTG